AGTAAAAAAAAAAAAAAAACTAATTTATAATTATCCCAAAACTTCTCTCTCCATAATTCTAAATCCAAAATGTCCAAACTATTTTTGTCCATTCGATTCCAATGGAGGGTTGTGGCGACCGGCCGGAAGCCTGATCCTGCCGGATGAACCCGCCGGAACCACCTTCAGATTCTCGCAGTTGCAGATCTCGATCATGAATCCGTCAGGATCGTTGAAGAAAAGCTGTTCGATTGATTCTCCATTCTCCTCGTCCAACGTCCTCCTCATGTATTTCACTTCCAATTCCTTCAATCTCTCCTCCATGGCTTCCATGTCTTCGCACTGCCACACTTCAATTTCAAGAAACAAAAACCTAAAATGTATTCAAACTTTTCTTTGCGATTTTTTAATTCAGAAACTGACCTGAAACGAGATGTGGTTGTCCAACGGATCCAGATGGTCCTTATCGCCTAGACGAACTCCATTATCTTCGTCTTCGGATTGCATCAAGTGAATCCCGACGCCGTAGTTGAACAACCAAGCGCCTTCGAAATCGAAGCTCTGCGGCCTCTCGATCAGGACAAACCCTAGGACCTTGGTGTAGAAATCGACGGAATCCTTGACGCTTCTGCACACTCTGGAGACGTGATTGAGCGCCATCAATGGAAGTGGATGCTCTTCCTCCTTTCTTGTACTCTCTCTCTCGGTAATTTCTTCGGATTCTCCGTCGTTGTTTTCTTGGACTTCATTGCCGACGGTGGCCTTCCGATCTGCGATCTCTTTTTCCATGTGTAGCGGCGTTGAACAGAAGCGAAGGAGTGGAGAAGAGCGTTGACGGTGGTTGGTTTAAAAGGGGAAAGAATGGCGGCGGGTAGGGCACACGTGGAGAAGGAAGTAGAGTGCCAACTGCCATGGAAGAAGAAGCTGTACGTGGGAGTTCATGCGGAGAAGACGTACGGCTCATCGCTTTGCTTTGGTTTATGGAGAAATAATATTTTAAATAATTACTTTGGTTTGAATTACCTCTCGAATCTAAGCTCACGCGCATTTCACTACGCGCACTCACCACGCGCTCTCAATCCCATCCGGACCAGAGTTCAGCCGACTTCCCCGTTCCTCTCTCTCATTTCTCCCTCTCTCTATAACCCAACGAAAGGTTTTTTTTACCAGTTCACCGGAACCACCTAACAACTGCCGCCGGTGTATTCAAGCTCTCATCGTCTTTTTGCCGCTGTGAAATTTCCCGGCGGCGGCGGCCGTAGGTGAAGAGATGAACAGGGACGCGTCGAGCTGCAACACCTACGACTACGGCGATGCTGTCTACTGGGACGCTCGTTACCAGCAGGAGGCTGATTCTTTTGATTGGTACCAGCGTTATGCTGCTCTTCGTCCCTTCGTTCGTAAGTTCATCAGCACTACCGCCTCTGTCCTTATGGTCGGCTGTGGTAATGCTGGTAACTCCCCTCTCCTTTCTGCCATTTTCCAGTTTCATTTTCTTTTGAGATTAGAATAGTTCTCGTGGAGGTATTGGAAGTTGAAATCGGAACGGATCTTCGATGCATTCAAATTTTGGTGCATTTTAAGTTCATCACATTGAGAGATTTAGGCGGTTTAGCGTAAGAGAAAATTGAATCTCGGAGCTATCTTGGAATTTTGCTACTAAGAATTCATAGTCAGGAATGAACTTGAACACTTGGGTTTAGTATTCAATTGTTTTGGTGTTAATCCGGTCCGATTCTCATGGAAACTGGCTCTGAGAGAATCATTCTTGAACTGAAGTAGCTTAGTGTTCGGATAAATCAACTTATTTGAGAGATGAAAGCATGAGCAGTGTAATATTTTGTTTGATGATTAATCTGCAGATTGGAAACGATACCGTGAAGAAATTGATAACTGATGCAGTGTAATAAAGAGCTTTGGCACATTATATATGACTCAATTGTTGTCTGCTTCTTCGTAAAACATTGATTTTAACCGTTACATCTTTTGTACTTGTAGTCATGTCAGAGGATATGGTCAATGATGGATATGAAGACATAATGAATGTTGACATTTCTTCGGTGGCAGTCGACATAATGAGAAGAAAACATCAGTTCATCCCCCAGTTGAAATGTATCCTCTGAAGCTTGCAACTTAGTTAAATTATCATAAATGGTTTCTTTTGATTTCAGAATAGCCCTCAAGTTGTTTATGTTGACAGAATTCTTCTTGCAGCTTAGTTAAATTACCATAAATGGTTTGTTTTGATTTCAGAATAGCCCTCAAGTTGTTTATGTTGACAGAATTCTTCTTGCAGCTTAGTTAAATTACCATAAATGGTTTGTTTTGATTTCAGAGTAGCCCTCAAGTTGTTTGTGTTGACAGAATTCTTATTATGGCCATTATTATTGATAAGTTTGTTGAATTGAATCATAAATACTCGGGTATGGGTAAAGTGTAGGAGAGACGGTCCTCTCAAATGGTTGTTGTCGTTGTTGTATTCCCGTTTTTTAGCTAAATTATGTTTTGCTCCTACGAGTTTCCTTGACAAATCTGTATAGACATGGAAATGGATGTCCGAGACATGAGCTTTTTCCCAGACGAGAAATTCGATGCTGTCGTTGATAAAGGTATGAGTTCTTCTTAATCTTCATTTTACACACCATCAAAGTTCCCAGTCTTTAATACTGAAGTTTGCTCTATGTGTTGATCTTTCAATGCCTCGTGGCCTCGTGGTTCTTGATATAGGGACACTTGATGCATTGATGGTATGTGAGCTTTCCATATTTCTAATGCATGTTATTCACTATTTTTTCCTGTGTTCTAATTCGTTAATTGCGTGTTCATAGTGTGGCACTGATGCTTCGATTAGCGCTGCTCAAATGCTGGGAGAAGTGAGTAGGTTGTGGACTTTATGAACTTCATAACATCGATCGACTTGTGTAGATTCTGGTCTTTCGGTTTTACATTTCTCCACTAATTCTTGGCTGTTAATTCTATAGGCTTCTTAAATCTGGAGGAGTCTATTTACTGGTAACCATCTTTTATCTCTCATCAGGCTTTGCTTTTTAATGTTCTGTTTGCAGTAAAATAATCAAAATTGGTCGTTTACAGATCACGTATGGGGACCCGAAAGCTAGGATGCCCTATTTGATGCGACCTTCGTACAATTGGAAGATAGCGTTGTTTATAATCCGTGAGTTCTTCATCATCCTCTCACCGAACTGATCCTTCTTATTTTCAGGTCTCAAATTGATACAGGTCTTCTTTGGATGTTTATTTGCTTCCTGGTTTTGTTTCAGACCATATCTATGCTGAACAACAATTTTTTTTTTTGGAATCCTCAGTCACTTCTGACGATAGAAGTCTAATATTAGATTTACAAGAACTCACTCCCTGAGTGTCACACCTGTTGAAAGCTCTGAACATGAACTATGAATGTAATTACTCAATGTAGGGCCTTTTTTTTAAGTTGGAAACTAATTGATTGATACAATCTCTTTGCTGATCTCTTTGCTTACCTTTGAATCTGTAACCGCTGAAGCCCACTGCTGGTAGATATTGTCTTCTTTGGGCTTTCCCTTTCGCGCTTCCCCTCAAAGTTTTAAAACGCGTTTGCCGGGGAAAAATTTCCATACCCTTGTAAAGAATGCATCGTTCTCCTCTCTCCAACCAATGTGGGATCTCACAGAATCTCTTGTACCTGCCCCGCTACTCTCTATGACCTTCCCTCCCCCCATCACACACACAACAAAAAATGAAACAAAACTCTTTAACGTAGGTAAATTCAAGCCATATTGCTATTACGTGTAACAGGTGTGCCATTGCTTTCTCGAGGCTGTGTTTTCACAGCCGAGAAAACTAGATCATTTATCGACTGACTAGATAGAAGGGCATACTTCTTCGAAGTGGTATTTATTGGAAGAAATGATGCTACTATTCCCTGGTTAGCTTTCCCAGCGGGTGAGCTGGAAAATTGGCTCCCTTGCTATGTGTTTGGGGCTCTTGGATGCACTCCTTTCATGGATTGCTTTTACTTTTGTTAAATATAGAAACAAGTTGATTCATAATGAAGTTGAATCTGTTAATGGCACCTCTACTTTTTCTGAAAGGTCTTAGTTTTGATTCCTCTCACCCCACAAGTGATATAGTTATGCTGAAGGCTGTTTTTTACCTGGCCATCTGCATCAACTGAGCATCGTTCTTTTGGACTATTACCAGTTATGTTGAAACCAAAACATCACATTTATTTTGCTTCTATTTCTTTCATTCATTCCGGGTATCATATGTAACAAGATAGTTCATCTTATTATATGTTAAGGATTGTTAGGAGAGAGTCCCACCTCGACTAATTAAGGGGTTGATCATGAGTTTATAAATAAGAAATATATGTCTTTGTATGAGGCCTTTTGGAGAAACCAAAAGCAAAGTCATGAGAACTTATGTTCAAAGTGAACAATATCATACTATTGTGGAGGTTTGTGGTTCCTAACTATTCTATGTTATTTGACGTACTTTTGTTAGTCCTTTGTTTTCAGTTCTATGGAATTTGGAAATATAGTTCCTTCTCAGTTCTCATTCTTTACTTTGTACAGCAAGGCCAGGATTCCAAAGGCCGGAAGGTTGTAACACACTAGAGAAACCATATCTAGAGCCAGTGCCTCTGACCGACAACGGCTTGCTGTTGCCGAGTTTTGTCATAGAAGACCCAGATTCTCACTTCATATACATGTGTCAAAAGATGGACGACTCGGATCTTAATAACATAGCCCCGTATCCATTGAGCGCAGATGTGTTATAGGAACAAATAAGGTACCTTACAATACCTTTTATCATTTGCATCCATCCTATTTTACAAGCTTGAATATGCATTGTTGTTGTAAAATGATGTTCCTTGAAAAGAAGGAGATTAATAGACATAAAACAACATTGAAACTAACACATAAATGAGGGGATACCATGAGAGTCTAGATTGAGGGGGGCTTCTTGCATGCAATTGGGTGGCTATTCAACCAATGCCTAATCGATTATGACAATGCATTGGCCATGTTTCTTGGGTGGGAGTGCTTGTTTGAGCACCTCAAATCAGTAAACTTGGGCCACACGTAAACGTTATTGAGCATTTGAACAATAGGGATGCTGTTTTGATTGGATCTTTGATGCTATTCCCACTTTTTTTTGGATGTGTTTGTCTATTTTTCCTCTATTTTCTTTTTTTTTTTCTCGTTTATTATAAGAAAGTAAACTATCATTCATATCGATAGGATCATTACAATTAGATTTAAGATTAATTTATATCGATAGGATCATTACAACTAGATTTAAGATTAGTTTTATATATTCGATACGATAAACGACTAGATTTAAGATTAGCTTTATATATTCAATAAGATAAACAACATTGTATTTTCGTTGCGTAGATAAATGTATTATTTATCATTTTTTTCGCTCTGAAATATAGTAATTAGATAGATTTCCAATACACACATAAGTTTAATTAAACTTAATTGAATTTTGAGGGAAAAAAAAAAACTTCATAAAATCTTCACTTCAAATCTTAGGAATGTCTGAAAACATCAAGCAATCGGCTTCTTCCGTCGAGAACCTCCGAGAATCTCTCATCCACCTCATTCCCCAATCTCTCCACCGCCTTCTCCAACCTCCCCAATCTCCTCCTCATCTCTTCTGCCGCCGCACTGTTCACCTCGCGGACCTCCTCCGGCACACTCCCCTTCCCTGAAACCACCGCCAAGATCACGGAATCCAATGCCTTAAACGCCGGAATCGCCACATCAGCAGCTAGTTTTCTCATCTCCAAATACGCCGTCGAATCTCCCTCACAACCAGAAAGCATAACCCCACAAATCCAATACCCGATTCCCTCCATTGTCGCCAAAGCTTTCTCGACCGCCCGCTCCTTCCTGGAGCCACCCTTCTTCTGATCTCCCACAGTTCCTCCGATCACCAATCTTTCAAAACCCCTCATCGGAACAATCTGTTCCAGACGAGAAACCGCCATTGAAGGGGAGCTCTGAATTAAGCTCAACGCAAAAGAAACAGAAACCCGAGACTCCCCCAATTGGGATAAAGAAAAACTGATGGAATTTAGAAGATCAAGCAAATTGAGACTATAATTCAAATACCCATCAACCAAATGGGCGCCCCATTTTCCGACGGGGTGCTCCAAATTAAAAACCAATTTCGCAAACGCCTGATGGAGGATCGGCAGAGCCTGAAGAAGCTGAAGAAGCCAAGAAAACGACAACTGTTCCAAATCGGAACTCGACAATAAAAATTGATTCAAGCAAGACGACACATCGTCCTCCATAGCTTGAAGACAAGAAACGGAGGAAGAAGCTTTACATCCATGGCGGCCATGGCGATCGTGGAGCTTGGAACAGAGCTTATTGAAGGTTTGAAGCAAAAGGAGCATCTTAAGAGAGAGCTTCAACAATGGTGGGGTGTTGAGTTTCAGAGCTTTTATAGGAGGCGGCGGGAGGAAGAGGAAGACGAAGAGGAAGCTTCAATGGCGAAATCCGCGTTCTCTCTGGCTTAAAGCCCAAGACAGGGAGAAAATATTTGACCATTTTGTTTTTTTTTTTTAATTAAAATTTTAAATAATATTGCTTACGTGTCATTCTCTACTTTCTATAAATAATTTAAATATTCGAAATTCAAATAAATATTTTATAAAAATTGATTAATAATTTATTTATTTTAAAAAACATAAATAGTCATTATTTTTGTATTCACTAAAAAAAATCAATTACACATTAAAATTTTATAACAATTTAATAATAATCATATAAATATTCTTTGACATGGTCGTTCTTATATTATAATAAGAGAGGTAATTACGATAACAATAATAAAATTTTATTCAATTTTTCTAACAAAATAACCGATTATAATTTTAATCAATAGAAATATAATTAAATTAGTTTATGAGATAATTATGATAATAATAATAAAATTTTGTGTGATAATATGGTAAGATATTTATAAAATATATTTTTAAAGTAGGAGATTTAATTCTCTGATAAAATTAATAATTTTAATTTTAATTAGTGGAGATATAATTAAATTAGTTTAGGTGAGACATGGCGCAACGTGATTGGCAGTGACATAACAAATTAATTGGTTATTTTCAGTTTTGGGTATTTTATCAAACCCTACGTTCAAGGTCTTCAAACCATCCTTCAAACTTCTCTATCCCTTTTGGTCATTTGCTCAACTAAAAATTGTACGAATGTAGAGATTGTTCCCTTATTTAACTCCTCTCTTTTCCATACCGATTTCATCAGAGACTACCGGCGATCTTTAATGGCAGCCGGACATTCGATTTTCCTCTGTTTCTTCGTCTTCTTCCTTGCGATTCAAATCGCCGCCAAGAATCAGAAGGAAGCTCTTGACGCTCTCTACAAGGCCAAGTTCTTCAGGAACTCAGACGCCGCCGATTCCTCCGAGTTTTTCTTCCGCAACGAAGCGGCGGATCAAAACACCGAGGTTTTGCCGACGGTCGAGATTGACGATCAGGCCGGACGGAAACAGCAGGACAAAATCAAACGGCTGCCAGGACAACCGCCTAGGGTTTCGTTATCGCAGTACGGCGGCTACGTGACGGTGGATAAAACCGCCGGCCGTGCTTTCTATTACTACTTCGTTGAATCTCATCAAAACAAGACCTCGTTGCCGCTTCTTCTATGGCTCAACGGAGGTACGCCGGTGACCTGGATCTAAGTGATTTTTTTTTTAAAATGTTAGTTTAAATGATACATTTGTATTTTTAAAGTAAAATCAGATTACACGTGTTAATAAATGATTGGCTGCGTAGGGCCTGGGTGTTCGTCTCTTGCTTTTGGAGCCATGGGTGAACTCGGTCCCTTCCGCGATCGCAGCGATGGCAAAACCCTCTTCCACAACAACTTTTCATGGATTCACGGTACGAATTTTTTAAATATTTATAAATTTTCAAGGTGAAATTAATAATTATGCCTCAAATTTTTTATATTTTAAAATTTGTTAGTTGCAAATGTGTTGTTGCCGGCTGGAGTGGGATTCTCCTACTCCAATACTACCTCAGTTTACATAGACAATGGTCAGTTGACATAGACAAAGGAGACAAGAATACGGCAAACGTCAACTATGCGTTTCTGGTGAATTGGTTAGAGAGGTTCCCAGAGTATAAGAATCGAGATTTCTATATCTCTGGTGAGAGTTACGCCGGTCACTTTGTCCCTCGGCTAGCTCAAGTCATTCTCTTACACAATAAGAAAGCTGGGAAGACGATCGTCAACATCAAGGGTATTATTGTAAGTATACCTCTCTCGAGTTTCTGATGGGAAGAACAAGGAAATGCATTTGAAATGGTCATTGAATTTCTTTTCTTATTTGTTAATTTTAGATTGAAAATGCAGTGATCAACGACGAGACAGATCGAAATGGAATGTATGATTTCTTCGCATCCCATAGACTAATTGCCGATAGAATTGCAAACGACATAAAGAAGTACTGTCACTTCTAGCCAAATGTGACGGCACAGAGCCCGCAATGCTCAGCAGCGTATAAAATAATGGCCACCAACACGAATGCGATCAACATTTACAACATCTATTATTCAACATGTGTGAACGGTAACCTGACACATCAGCCAAGGAAAGCGACGGTGATGAACTACGATCCTTGCATTGATTACTACACATCCGCTTACTTGAACCAGGCAGATGTTCAGAGGGCGATGCACGCCAATGTGACAAAGATTGCATACAAATGGGAGTCTTGTAGTAATGTCATCATGCGTTGGTCTAGTACTTCTTCCACTGTTATTCCTCTACTACTGGAGCTCATGGACAGAGGATTGCGAGCATGGGTTTTTAGGTAATTTAATAATTATTATTAGTCGTTGGAAAAATGGTAATAATTATCCGTATTAAAATTAACTACTATATTGGTTTCAGCGGTGATACTGATGGGAGAATACCCATTACTTCCACCAAAAATTCTATCGCCTTGATGAAGCTTTCGGCGAAGAAATCCTGGTACCCGTGGTTCGTTCATAAGGACGTACGTTCTTGTAACTCTATTTTTTTGTTAAAATAAATGAGTATTTAATTTAACCTCAATTAGATCGTCCTAATTAATTCCAATTTCGATTTTGACGTTGAGAAGAGCCCTTGCGCTTATCACACACTTCCTTATGTTAGACGAATTAGACGAACACGACTCTCCACGATGTGGGACTTTCATCATCCAACACCTCCCCTCGAACAAAGCACGTCTCCCTTAATCGAGGCTCGACTCTGATACCATGTTAGACGAACACGACTCTCCACAATGGTATGATATTGTTCACTTTGAGCGTAAGCTCTCATGGCTTTGCTTTGGGCTTCCCCAAAATGCCTCATACCAATGAAGAGTGTATTCTTAGATTATAAACCCATGACCATTCCCTAAATTAACCGATGTGGGACTTTCATCATCCAACACCTTACAGGGACTCCTTGCGCCGTCTTAGCTTTCCCTGACCAAGATTGCTCCCACACTAGTAGTGTTCGTGATCGACCTACTTAACTATGTATTGATCGTAAAGGCAAGACGACACAATGCCCAATCAAAGAAGTAGTTACATCTAGTATGTATGCCCTTATTCTCGACATGCTATGGTACCTCGAAATGGATAGAAGTGGGTTGAATCTGTATTTTGAGCTCATGTAGGTGAGAGTCTCATTCTTAATAAAACTCTAATTTCAAATGACCAAATTTAGTTTAAACATTAAAATTAAAGCCCCAAAACTAACTAATATTTTTTTAATATAGTCAAATGTAGCGGGACTGGGACAAAAATGAAGAATATAATCTCGTCTTTAGCCCCAGTTATGATAAAAAAATGTTATTCATTCTTCTTCCTTTCCCCGATTAATTGCGAATCTCATCATCTTCCCATAAGGGTAAAATAGACATTTCTTAAATAACTCTCCATATATTTTCTTGATTATTCTTTAATGAAAACATTTTTAAATTAAAATATTGGGGAATTATTTAAAATTTGTTTTTAAGTAAAAATTAAAGATTATCAATAGAAATGGAAGGCAAACGAATATAATTCTGTCATTCTTTATAATTATATTAATGTAATGTTTTTGAAAAAGGAAAATTAGAAATGCAATAAAATTTAAATTCGCCAGAAAAAGTAATATTTGTTGTCTTCCATTTAAAAATTCGAAGGATAAAATGGGTTTTTAAACGTTGGGCCGTCACCGTGGCATCTCATTTCCCTTTTAACATCATCCGAATTCAATCGGAGTGACATGGCGCAACATGATTGGCGGTGACGCAACAAATTAATGGGTCATTTTCAGTTTTGATTGTTCTTATCAAACCCCACGTTCATGGCCTTCAAACAAACCATCCTTCAAAACTTCACTATCCATTTTAGTTATTTTCTAGACTGTACAGATACTCATCAGCCTGGATTTAGAAATTCGGAAAAATCCCCAAATTCTTCCATTATTTAACTCCGTTTTCCATTCCGATTTCATCAGAGACTACCGACGATCTTCAATGGCGGCCGGACATTCGGTTCTCCTCTGTTTCTTCCTCTTCTTCTTTGCGATTCAAATCGCCGCCAAGAATCAGAAGCAAGCACTCGACGCTCTCTACAAGGCGAAATTCTTCAGGAACTCAAACGCCGCCGATGCCTCCGGTTTTTTCGTCCGCAACGAAGTGGCGGATCAAATCACCGACGTTTTGCCGACGGTTGAGATTCACGATCAGACTGGACTGAAGCAGCAGGACAAAATCGAACGGCTGCCAGGACAACCGCCTAGGGTTGAGTTATCGCAGTACGGCGGCTATGTGACGGTGAACAAAACCGCCGGCCGTGCTTTCTATTACTACTTCGTTGAATCTCCTCAAAACAAGACCTCGTTGCCGCTTCTTCTATGGCTCAATGGAGGTACGCCGGCAACCTGGATTTAAGTCTTTTACTTCATCGGAAATTTTTAATATGATTAAAATCAGATTACACGTGTTAATAAATGATTGGCTGCGTAGGGCCTGGGTGTTCGTCTCTTGCTTATGGAGCCATGGGTGAACTCGGTCCCTTCCGGGCTCGTAGCGACGGGAAAACCCTCTTCCAAAACAACCTCTCATGGGCTCAGGGTATCTATGGATATTTAAGATTTAATTATTATTTATGCCATTTCTTTGAAAACAAAAAATCATTTATACTTTAAATAATTTTGCTAGTTGCAAATGTATTGTTTTTGGAATCACCGGCGGGAGTGGGATTCTCGTACTCCAATACTACATCTGATTACCAAAGCAACG